TAATTGGAAGGCAGCTATCCATGAAACTTTTATCGCGGGAGCTGTCTTTAAACGTTTTAACGACATTACAGCATTTCAACGACGGCGTTTTTTGGTTGTTTGGTGAAATCCTGTTATGACGACGCGCCTAAGTTAGCTAGTAGCTCCTAGCTAGTTGGCTCTGTAGCACTTATGTTAGATCGAACAGATCTGGCGCGGACGTCGTATACCCAACCCCTTTCCACGACTCTTTTGGCGCGTCGCCGCAACGTGGATGTCCTGATACACCTCTGTATGGCACTGAACTCCAGAATTGTCAATGCTGTGGAATTTTTACAGGTACTATCACATGAAAACATTGAAACCATTATCAAGTTTGCACATCGACATAATCTTTTCCTTATGGCTGATGAAGTGTATCAGGTAGGCAGATTTATATTCAGGGATTCTTAGCAAGCCACAAGATGTCATGTTTAGGATAACGTTTATGCAGAAGGATCGAAATTCCATTCTTTCAAGAAGGTTATCAACGAAATGGGTGCGCCATACAACAAGTATGTTTTTATCAGTGTCTTATCACTGCTCACTGTACGCACACACACCATGGTTTGGCGCAGTGCGGCAAGCATTTTGCGAGGGGAGGGGGGCGTTTTGGATCTGGGAAGCAATGGGAAGCAGAAAGCGAATGTGCAAATTGTCCCTCCCCTCCTCGTTGCCGAATTGCTCCCATAATTTCAATATGAACCAATGAAGGGAAGTTTTTTGGTTAATCCATAGACAGAGGGGTTTGTCGCCACTTGAAGGTCAGTCCATTTAATAAGAGAGTTCAAGCCCCAGCGAAGTAAGAGTAGTCGAAACCTGTGCGTATCGGGTGGAAGGCCTTCGTAAATACCTGAGAGTTGTAGTGCTTCACGTGTGAAAGATGAGCAGGCTTGTAAAATCTAGGGTGTACAGCTTTTGTCATTAAAAAGTGCTCGACAAGGGCGTGTGGCGTGTCTGAGTCCTCTCCGCCTGGCTAAATAAACGCCTATTTTCGCAAACGCGGCAAGGTAATGCGGTCCCTACTTGTCTTTTTCTCTCTCCTCCCTTCGACTGGTTTCTGCTCCGCGCATCAGTGTTTCTTCGCCATTACCAGTATCCGTTGATTATTGAGTTGCGAGCGGGCGTCAGTAACGTCCCCATTCGCCCTACAACGTGCTAGAGTTGTCCAATGATGATCTTCTCTGTGATCGAGGAACGCAGTGAACTTCATATCTTTCGTTCAGAACTTTCCGAGCTTCTTCACCATACGATGCTCATTACA